CTGGCGGGGAGAGGCCGAAACTCCCGATGGAAACGAAACTACCCAGGCGCCTTTGCGTCGCCGAACGATCTGATATTCCCGAGCCTCTACCTGCGACGCGCACGGCCCAACCGTGCCCCCTCGCTTTCGTTTCAGGCCCGATGCTCTCGCGTACGCTCGTTACTCCGATAGCCACCGACCACGGCCGACCACGTAGCGTCTAGTGATTACGCGCGAAACTTTTAATTTCCGTCGCGGGTCCCCGTTCGTCCCGACATCGTCGACTTTCCTCGGGATCGCGCGAAAAAGCGCGAAACGTGGATCGATAACGCACCGGCGCATCCGCGCGTCGCTATGCAAATTAAGGGTGCCGAGTAATAACTCCCGTCCCAGTACGCTCGCGTTTACTGCTCCACGGTCGAGGACAAGATCATAAACCGACAGTCGTAAAGCGGCGCGATCGCGTCGGCGTATGCCGACTTCCAAGAAGCTCGAGGTAATTCTCGCCGAGGAAATGAAAGCTCTCCCTTGCCTGTCTCGCCACGTCCATCCTCCCTCGATATTCACCCTCTAATTAGAAACTGCGTGTGGTATCATCGTCAACCGCGAATCGCGCGAAATCTCGCAGATTTCCGCCATCTTCGGCGCGATTGCGATCCGTTTATCGCGACGAGAGAAGCTGCTTCGGATCCTACCAGCCGGAGCCATCGCGTAAATATTATCGTCCGAAAGCACGAGTGGCACGAAGAACTCGTAAAGCAAGCTTATCCCTCGAACGAAACACATGTAGAGCGCTCTTGAACCCACCGTAAACGATCCCCGGCGAGGTAAATGCGGCAAGTTTGTTACTCTCTGTCACGATCTCGTCATCGCGGCACATTCCTGAAGTGGAAGGATAGGTCCGGCAGATAAGGCGGCGCTCTCTTGTCCACCGGACACCGAAACGTCTCGCGTTTACGAGGAATTTCGAGGGACACGGAAGAAGAGGGTAGAGGAAATGGATGACGCCACGGTTGGACCTTGTCAAGCGAGGACCACGATAGGATGCCGAGAGCGGAGACTCGGAAGAAGGTCCATAACAACGATGTTATCGTTGACTCGTTGCTGGCACGGAGGAATCCTGTCGGTGGATCGATCGGTGGATCGAGTCGTGTATAAACACCGTGTTGCGTCCCGAACACCGCAACTCTCGCAGTGGGAGTTTCGCCGAGTTGTAAGGCCCGTTTACATGGATGCGACAATGTTACCGCGATGCGATCTACTCTAAATTGATAGAGCTAGACCTCTAGCTAGGTTAGGGTTGAAACTAAAGAGTCCCGTGGTTCTCTCGCGCCGAGTTCCTTGTCGTGGGTCTTGACCGATGGTCTTGTCTTCTTGGTTTTTAGGCGACTCTTTTTGATGATTGCTGTCTCGATGGTTTTATAAGTTTTGCGTGTTCACTGATTACCCATTGCGAGATGAAAATGGCGGATGCGCGTCTTCCGATTGGTTCCGAATGGTACAAACTGAAGAACCACTGAAGCTTTCTTTATTTAGCTTGGAGACGTTATCCGTATCACGAAAAGCACCACTATCTCCTAGGTAGAACGTGGCGCCTGCATGGGGACACGCGATCCCATTCGTGATATTCATAATTGGTCCGAAATTAAGACTACGAGTCAGACTCGTGATATTCATCTTTGGCCCGAAATGTCGATAACGAGTCAGACTCGTGAAAATAGTGCAAGGTGTTAGCAATATCGGAGGGGTGTGCACCAGCTTCGACGTCCCCCGGTGGCGGTGGATGATCGAACAATTTGGGGCTCACTGTCTTAAGAACGATTTACAAAACCTTGCCAAGAATCATGAAAGCGACGACAGACGGCATCGAATGTGCACGAGTCAGAGGACGCCGAGGATAAGAACACAGAGCAGTCCTCCGCGAAGACTTGTAAGACTCGGTCCTGGACGCACCGATTTAATTGATACACGGTTCCCGATTCCGTCCCGTTACTCTTTGCAACTTCGGCGTACACCTGTCGGGTCGCGGCGGCAGCTCCGGGCTAATCTGATAACTGTCAGGCCTAGCCCCGAGAACTCTTCGGAGAGTGTCGATTTCGCGTGTAATTCGGAGACGCGACCCTTCCACTCTCCAGGAGTTTCCCCGTTTAAGTAGATTACGTCGGGCATTAGCGAGTTTACCATTCGACCACCGGGGGGTGGAGATTCACGACGCTGAGCCAGTCGCGATCGTCGCCCCGGGATACGCGATCTGCACGAGGACGAGTAACTACGACACCGACGAAATTAATCGACGTTATCGGGTATCGACGGAGTGGCCCAGGCTCGTGACTCATTTTCGCGAGATGAGATCATCGGGAGCCAAGCCACCCTTAGCTCCTCCGACCCAACGGACCCCCGCGCTATACGATTTCATTCGAAACGTGCGATCGTTATTGCGTTTCGTAGAGGCACGCGTCGGGCTATCGCCTAGGATTCCGTTAATTGGATCCGGAGTCGGGTTTCCGTGCGATCGATGCGCGATGCTGAATCAGAGCGATCGTAAGTAGCGCGTATAACGCGATGGGAGCGTATGGTTTCCCTGCGCTGGGGTAGTAACACCCCGCGACTGACATCGGCTTACGTTGCATCGGCCGTTGAGCCTAACAACGCCGGATGCAACCTTTTGTCCGCGGCTCGATTACTCTCTTCCTCCTCACCCGTTCTTCTTAGAACCTCGTAATTATTCGCCGTGCTTTCCTCGCGTTAATTGGATGCCCGGCTTCGGACCGCCATCCTCTTTCCGTCCTGCCTTCTCCCGGCTGTTTCACCGGTACCTTGGAAACTCTGTCGGGGAAAAGAACGCGGTTGGTCCGTTCGTGGAACGTACCCCTCTGCGAGTGTTCGAGAGGGGTGTGTTGGTCGCACGGACGTGGGAAACGCGAGGGTTGCGCGTCGGCGTCCGGTACCAGCCACGCTGTCTTTTTACCTCTCGCGCGATCCATGGATTCTCCGTTTTCTGACCACGGAGATAGAGCAAGGGAGTCGGTCCTTCGCCCTGTCTGACGGTTCGCCGCAGTCTCGCGGTTTTATCGAACAGGACGTCGCCTGCCCGCGTCGGTTTCCGATAAAAGGGACTCTTGCCTCGGAAGAAACGCGTCTCGCGATATAAACTCGATCCCGAGGCTTGCCGGGTATCGGCGAGACACCGGTGTTCGACGGACAATGACTGGAGACGCGTTGGAAATCTCGGAAGAAAATCACGTTCTCCAGACCAGACGATACATCATCGCGGTTGGCTTTATTTCCCGCGTGTTCCTCCACGGGCGGAAAAACGCGGAAGCGAGTATAAGAGAGGGTGAGTGGGGAAGGAAGGGAGCTGCTAAGCTCTCGGTTGAATCCATTAGCTGACGCCATTAATATCCCCGTAATGATGAGCGATGAGCCACCGCGAGAAGGAAGAGAATTGCGGAGACGAGTCGGTCCTAAGTGCGTCGGAGGGACGGGGATGATTGTCGTGTAGACACGCTGCTCCGCAAAGGCAACCGAGAAAGACAAAAACTGGAACGGATCATGGCTGTGTGAATCTTTCGCGAATCCCGGAGAGTCTCGTGGAGTCGGAAAAGGGGAATAAAATTTTCCGATCCGAAGGAGAAGACGTCGCTCGACTGGCGATCGTAACGTCTGTGGATGGAAGGCTCGGCTGGCGCGCCGCCAGCCAAGCGAAACGTCCGCGAGCGGAGTATAATGCCGGTCGCAGTGTGGCTTATCGATACGCGTTAAATCGGCAGTCCCAAAGCGGTCGGTGGTCCTTTGAATCCGGCGTCCCTTTCCAGCCGCGTCTCGTGGCCCTCGCACCTCCAGGTAAATGAGTCTCGCGTTCACAATGCGCGTCGATCGATCCGCGCGAGGTCGCGACAATAGGCACGAACCGGCGGAGGGCCGATAGAGCGGCCCCGGAAGTTTCTCCCCCCCTGTGGAAATCCTTGCACAAAAATCACTTTCCCTGTTCGCAGGCACGCCACGTAAAGCGCCGCCAGCCGACGCCCTTCTCTCCGGCTCTGCTCTTCGCGCAAACCAGGCACGTGTCGCGGCGCGCGAGGGCTGCTCGCGGAGAAACGGGGACGATGTAACGCGTTGCAATCTCGCAACGTTTCCGTCGTCTCCGTCCCGTCTGCGCCGGCTGCGTCTCCGACTCTCGGAGAGCTCGTTGCTCGCGTCTCCAGCGTCGAGCGAACGGGAAAAAGACAATGGCACGACGTTCGAAGGATAAATCCGGTTTCGCGATGGTTAATGCGCCTCTTCCGCTATTACCGCGTCCGCAGGAACGCGTACGAGCTCACGACGTTTCGTCACGCAGCTACCAAGCTCGTTTCGAGATCGCGCGCAGCTTTCGCAACCGGTCGCGCCGCTCGCATTGTCGAGGAAATCGTTAACGACGTCCTGTCTCGCGATCGATCACGAAAAATTGCCCGTTCGCGGCTCGCGATTAACCAGACGATACCGGGAATTCAAAGGTTCCTGCTGGTTACGGGAAAGACACGTCTCGCGAGGTTTTACACCGCGAATAAAATTTCGCGAATAGTTGCGAGTTTTCCTACAGCGGCGCGCCGAATCCCTCGTCTGGCCATCGAGGTCGATGACCCGAGCAGCCATTGAAAACGACGTTGAATGATTCTTCGAGGTATCGCGTCCGTTCGAAAGCGAATGCGAGTTTCGAAAAGGCTACGCTCGCGCGGGCAAACTTTCTAGAGGTGTGCGAGTCTAGGTATCGACAGAATTACTATCAACCAAGTTCTCCATCGCGAATTCCGGCAAGTTTTAGCGATAGCAACGGTTCGTTGGAGCAGATCGATTAATCTCGACGATGCGGTACAGCGCTTTCACGGTAGGTTCACGGTTCGTGCGTGCTTTCGAAAGCTCTCGTATTCGTCCGACACTCGCCTGCGGTATCCGCTCTGGCGACCTTAGCTCGCGGTTGCGAGCGAACTCGGCGCTGCCGCTTACGCTAGGTAGTAACGAAGGATCTGCTTTGTTTCCAGATGATCGATGCATCGTACCACACGAACCCATCGCTCCAGAGCACCGCCCTGATCATCACCTGCGCGGTGGTGCTGCTGCTGATGGCGGCGATCGTGTCCGTCGTCTTCTGGAAGTGAGTACAAATTTTCATTTCGCGTCCTTGAACTGCCCAAACCGGAATCTCGACTACAAAGCAATCGGATAGAAGCGCGACGGAGATAGCGGCGAGGAAAACGCGAGGTTTGACGGCCGCGCATAAAACTGCGGAAGGGTCGTGTGGCGGAGGTTGCGACTCCGCAGTAATAAAGACTAGGTTTCATTCCGGCCGGACATCGTAAGGTGTTGGAGGTTCGAGGTCGCTCGGGTTGTAACCATATTTCAAGGGTTCGAGTGGCCATTCACGGTTCGAAGGAGGGACGGGAAAAAAGCCGGTGGACGGCGCGAGGGAAGAAGCAGGAACGCGTCATTGGCATTCTAGTGGTCGTTAAATTAGCCAAAAATAGGCCATTTCGCTTCGCCGTTCCGGCGTGTAACCGACATCGTTGCTGCGTTTACGAGCAAAGTGCACGGTATCTCGGACACTAGGGCTCTCGACCCGTTTGTCTTAGAAAGTTCGCAAACTGCCGGCCACGACAGTGGCTCGTGCGTACGAGAAAAGAATCTCGATGAGGACAGGAAGCAAAGGCGATCGTCGTTTCGGCCAGCGATAAATCGTCCAGGAATAGATCCTTGCTACCGTTGGAAACCCTGTCGTGATCCATTCGGGATAAGTCCCGATCGTTCGCGACGAATTAGGCCTCTGGTCTGCAACCACGAGTGAGACTCGTGGTGAGGAATTTGTGCCGTAAGCGACAACCACGAGTCTGACTCGTGCTGAGGAATTTGTTTCGTTAATTATGTTAATTATGTTTAATTAACTAACAAGGAGAGTGCAAGTCCTTCGGGTCAGTGATTTAGGTGAAACTTTGCAGGTTTGTAGAAATAGAAAATGTACCGTTATAAGGGCAATTACTCGATAGCTTTTGGCGTATCTATGATTAGAACTTTATTATTCTTGACCAGAGATTTCGTCCGAATAGTTATCGAGTAGTATTGTAGCCTAACGGCAACATCCGAAAATTGCCACCAGCATGGGATCTGTAATTAAGGCAATACTAAATCTCGCAAATTATGGAGTAGTTGTCCTTATAATGGTACATTTTCTTGAATTGGATGACTAAATCTACAAACCCGCAAAGTTTCAATTAAATCTACGACCCGAAGGACTTGCACTCTCCTCGTAAGTATTAATATACAAATTCTTATCGATGTATCATCCACTTTCAAATAATACGTCATTTTTGTCCACCAATGAATCGATCACGATTACGTCTCAGACGTCTCAAAATTACTAAAATTTCACAATTCCTTTTACTGCGCCGAAATCGACACGGCTGAACAATCGAATAGCTCGGTGCGTGACCGACCATCTCGTTTATACTATATCCCGCGAAATCGGGAGACGGCGCGTAGGCCAAGGAGTTAACAGTCGCGAATCGAGAGTGTCTCAACGCACGGTAAATTACGATCTGGAAGGACGTTGGAAAGCTGGATCACAAAGCGGTCTGTACCCCGACGAGGCGGACAAAGGGCCAAAGAAGGTAAAGAGGCGTTCAGTGGGTCCTAAATTAGCCAGAAATAGGCCATCGAAGAAGTGGGCGTGCGTCGAGGCGTTGTTACGCGCGGGCAACGAGAGAACAGCGTTACACTGATAATCTCCGACACGCCGGCTGCACAGAGCTCCCTCGGCTGTCCCTCTTTTGTGCCCGCGTAAGCAACTTGCTCGCGGATCCGCGCGACGATCAAGCCTCGTACGGGGAAGAAATATGCATCCACCGCAGAAACGCGGCCCGAAGATTTACGCGCGCCCCCTATTCGGACATTGTCTCTCGCTGCTTTACGCGGCAAGTGGAGCGAGCGGGGAGCAGTAAAAAATGAAATACGACGGGAGAAAAATGCTCGCGGGAATTGGTCGCGCCGCGAGCTCCTTCCGCGAGGCGCGCGGAAGACGGTAACGCGTGAAATTCCGGCCGGAACGAGCCGACGTTCCTTCCCGCCGCGAGATTCTCACGATCCGCGAGGTAGCCGTGTAATAAATTCGGATATCGATGGAAAAAGTCGGGCAGCCAGGAGGAGGAGTGGTCTGGCAAAGAGGCAGCGACGACTAATTCCACGTGCAGCGAGGGGGTGAGGGACCGCTGGCAAAAAGACGCGGCGTGCAATGATGCCACGATCGATGAACTCTGGCCGAGGGATCGGCAGCGGGCCAAGACGATTTTGGATTGGACAGAGGCCCGCATTCAGGATCCACCGGCGTGTCGTATTTTTATCGAGACAAACCTCTCGAAGGTCCACCCGTCGTGACAATGCCGGCCCTGTCTCGTCCCCTTTTCGCGCGGTTATCGTAACGCGCGGTCATTATCGCTTGTCCTCGGTAGTATCTTCGGCGTCGCCCGTAGTCCCGCTACATCCTATATATATTTTTCTTCTCCCTTCCCCTAGTCCCTGCAACGCCATATATTTCTCTCTCTTCCCGGCGGTATTCCAGAAGGAGAAAAAATCCGGAGATACTCGACGCGTGAAATTTTGCCGCATCCGCGTAAAATTCTCGAGTTCGTTGGTCGTTGACCGGAGAAACGCGAATTACTCGTTTATTCTTCTCGCTCGATCCGCTAGACGTCCACGTGGATAATTTGTTTCCACGCGGCTCGAAAGCACCGTCCGTTTGCACAACCGAGCCTCTGTTGTATCCCACTTTTTTCCGTTTATCGTAATAGCCGCCATTATCGAGGCTCGCAAGCGTCGTATCTCGAGTGTTACCGCGACTCGGACACTCGGCTCCGAGTTCCCGGACTTTGTGGGTGGTATCCCACCCTCTCCGGCACCTCGAGAGCAGCGTCTCGGAGGTTTGACAGCGAACGGCTTGTCCCATCGCCTCTCGCCGTTCCGACACGCGTACTTCTCGGCCCGTGTTTCCAGCGGCATCGACGCGCCATCTATCTCCGCGCGGATCGATGCCGGATAAAAATTAGTCGCGAGGTTCCGCGCGTTCGTGCTCGTTTTTCCCTCTCTACGACGTGAAAGTAAAACTCGCCCACTTTTCCACGCAGTAGGTCACCGTTTGCCCGATCGAAATCGCGCGCGTGTCTTTTAATCGCGATCTTGGACAGCGCGCGTGTAGGAGCGCGTAGGGAAGGAGAGAGCGGAACGCTCTCTCGACTTGTTCGTGTTCCGGACCTTTGCGAAGAACCAACACGACCACGCGTAGTTTGTATGCTAATCAGAGCCGTGTTCTCTCCCATCTCCGCGTTCTCCGCTCCTCGTTCGTCCACGCGATACACGCTCGCTCCGTCCTCGCCGTCTTTTCCCTCCGCCGCGACGCTATTTCCTGCTCGGCTCTATGAGCCGTCGTCGCAGCCGCGAGGCCAATTCGCGATAACTCCGCGCCGCGGTTTTAAACGGCCGAGCACGACCGCTCGCACCCCCGGTCACGGAACCACCCTCCCGCGGACGAGGACCGATCGTGGTCGACCATCGCGACGAATTACAAGTGGATGTAACCCAACTGCGATATCCGCGTGCTGCACCGCGTGAGTTACCGTCGCGGCAATTACTCGTCCCGCTCTGTAGCTCGCGGGGGATCGAAGACGATCACGGTCGGCGGGATTATTTACGACCGCGATTCGAGAGAGTAGTAGAAATGGAAGGATAGTCAGACCGGTGTTCCAACTGGAATATCCTTTCCTGGTAACGGGACATATTTCTTGCGGCTAATCCGAAAATGGCTTCTATCTGACCACGAGTCCGTTTCCGCGTTCCCACCACCCTCCCTCGTACACGTATCCCGTCGCGTGGCTCGATCGATGGCGAAAATTTCGCGAGGATGGAAAGCCGGTTGCGGGTAGACGTACTAATAATAGAAGAAACGAGCTCGTTACCGAACCCGACGCAACCCCCGTGGATAATTTCCATTCTCCGCGCGTGGTGTCGTTGACCGATCCCACCCCTAGCCTCGTGTATCGGCCTTGCCTCACGCGGAAGCGCATTCCGGGGACGATCGTTGGAGGATATCGATACCCGCGGCCACGGAACAGTCCCTCTTTCTCTCCTTTATTTTCCTTATCCCGGCGAGGCAAGAGAAACGACGGGGCAAGCTTTAAAATCTGAAAGAAATGCCCGCGTCGAACCGGGCGGCCCGGTGCCGTGGAGCGGCGCGGGGTGGGGCGGAGACCCCGCAGCCTTTATTTAACCGGCACCCTCTCGATGCTACGGGGTTCCCGGCAATACCTCTTCGCCTAATCTAACCTATATTTTTCAGCGTTTCGCCCCGGCAGCCGGCTATCGGACGCCTTTGCGCACCTTTTCTGCGGTAACTATCCCTTGCCGTGCGAAACTACGTCTAGACAGAGCCGCTCGAAACGCCTCCATTTCGCGTAAACGCGCCGTTGCGTTCAATGGCCGTTGCGGACGTCTCGCGAAACCGCGCGCCGACCGTCTGCCCTGATACGCGCCCCGATTCCCTCGCCGTTAAGAGCCCATTCGACACTTTCCGGATGGACGTCGCGAGTTCGTCGTCGATTCCTCCGTTGCTTGCATCGCGAATTTGAACGTCGTATGTGGTATTGCAGTATTAATCGTCGATATTCGACGTTATTTTCACGACGTGACAGCTACCGTTCTTTTCTCCGCGAATCGTCGACGTTCGGCTCGTCCGTGCTTGCCGAGGCGGATCGTTAAAGGGAAAACGGATTTAAGAGGGTCGTTGGCGAAGCTGGGGAACGACTTTGGACGAAACGAGCCGTGCTCCGTGCTTCCTCGACGTCGTGCGTACTCGTTAATACGGATCTTCGATTCACCCGGCAGAAATTGCACGCGCGGCAATAACGATAAACATCGGCGAGGTTATTCCGCGGCGAATTGCCGCTCGCGAATCAACGGCGAGCAACTGCGGGAAAAAATGGAGGAAAAGGTGGAAAAGGTGGAAAAGGACGGCGGGAAAACGGTCGGTTCGGCGATATTTCGCAGTTGCGCTGGAGGATAGCGTTACTTACGTTCCACTCGCCGCGGCACAGATTCCAGACGATGTAAACGGGA